ATATATAATTACTAGCTAATAACATTTAATAAAACCTATTTAATTTTACCTATGTGGCAATTTAACAATTTTCCCTCCAAAAACCGTTACATTTTGATGTATTTAATCTTTCATTTAATCATTAAATAATTAATACTCATCACTTCAAAATTATAAAAATCATTTTAAACTTTTGATTAATGACAGTTGACCATATAATGTGTTGACCGTATAATGTGATTAGATGTTATTATTGTTGTTACATTTAATTTTTTTTAAATAAAAAATATATTTGAAATTCCTAAATAAATAATAAATAATTCACAAATAAAAGACGTACCAAAATATAATTACATCCAATCAGATAAACGCAATTTAAAAAAAAAATATTACAACTCTTTTAATTGTAAATTTGGTCTGCAAAAAAATGAAAGAAAAATAATTAATCATTATATGCATACAGACTCACAATAATTTATTTATATCTGTGCAAATGCACAGGTCGAATACTAGTATATATAATTATTTACTAATAGCATTTAATAAAACCTATTAAATTTTACCTACGTGGCAATCTAACCATTTCCCTCCAAAAACCGTTACTTCTGATTTATTTAACATTTCATTTAATTATTAGATATTCCACACATTAAAAACTTTAAAATTACAAAAATCATTTTAAACTTTTGATTATTGACAGTTGACTATATAATGTATTGAACGTATAATGTGATTAGATGTTATTATTGTGGTTACATTTAAATTAACTTTTTTTAGAAAATAAAAAACGTATTTGAAATTCTAAAGAAATAATAAATAATTCACAAAAAAAAATACATATCAAAATATACATTAATTCTATTTGATAAACTCTATATAAAAAAAAAAAATTTCAGCTCCTTTAATTGTAAATTTTGCCTGCAAAGAAGTGAAAGAAAAACCATTAATCATTATATACTTTATATTTACAAATAAAAAATTAAAGTTGCAGTAATTTTTTTTATATTTCTAATTATTAGTTTGTCTTAATTAACATAATATGAATTCATAAAAGTATACAATGTTCAAGCAACAATTAAGGTCAAATTACTGTAAAAAAAATTAATTAATTAAAATAATAAAATGAAGATAATATGTTTCAATCGGCTACATAACACCATCCACAAGATTATGCAAATTTTAATACTATTATATTGTTAACAACAACAATCATGGAATTAGATATTATATAATTAATAATTAAATACATTTTTTTATGCTTATATATATATAGCTAAACTTTAAATTTTACCTCATAAATATTACCTATGTGACAACTTTTCCAACATAAAATATTTATAATCCATTATTATTATTATTATTATTATTGTTGTTGTTGTTGTTGTTGTTGTTGTTATTATTATTATTATTATTATTATTATCCACTTTATCCCATTAATGATAAAATAATTTCTTTTTATATTAACACAGTAATAAATATATTTTTTATTGTATCATATAATACTTACTCTTAAAATTAATAATAATATTTTACACTAAATGATATATGAAAAATACATAAACAATATTATAATTTAAATTTTTTTGTTCAAGTTATTTATTCCAAAATTAATATTATATTTTTTATCTGATTAAGTGATTATTTTTTGAATAAATCAATTTATTTTATGTCATAGTAAAATTTCTTAAAATTGCATAAGCAATTGTTATAATAAATTTAATATTTTTCAGGTAATTAATTGGTCATAATCTCTCATAATTACAAAATTTATATTATAAATTACATTGTATGCAATCATATAGTTAAGTAATATTTTTTTAACCAATGATTAAATTTTAAATGTAATAGTAGTATCTAACTTATAATTTGAATATTATATGCATAAATATAATTTATAATACTCTATATTTAAAATATAATACCATTATCTAACTTATAATTTTAATATTATATGTTTACAAATAATTCATAATACTTTATTTAAGCACTGGTGGAATACTAGTATTATTTAACATTATTACATATTTTATTATTTAACTAAATTATCGCCTCACATAAATTATCGTTTCCAGTTTCTGAAGTATCATCTCCTTGTTTCAACCCTCCGCCATTAGTTCCTTCCTCCCCAGCGCCAATGGAGAGAGTGGTGCTCACACGCTCATTCTCCTCATCTCCTTCCTCTGCACTCGCCTCCGCCAGATTCTTCTCCCGCTCGCTCCACCGCCTTGCTCGGATTCCGAAGCGCCACCGTCTAGTCCCGAACGGCCACCGCCGCTCCTTACTCCGGCGGCACCTCGGCCTCATCTCGCCAGCCTCTAGACATGCTCTTCACATGGAAAGGCACTTTTGCCCTCTTTCGGTCCGCGCGGTCTCCACATCCCCTGCTCAGTCCTCGCCTGGTAATTTGAGTGGTGCTTCTTTTTTTCATTCTGTAACATCTGTGTATGTATGCGTGTGCTTTGAGGTGAACTTGAGCTTTGTGGTGATCTGTTTTTGAATTGTTTCAGAGGTTTTGGGAGCGGATGATGATGTTGCGGAGAAGCTCGGGTTCGAGAAGGTGTCAGAGGAATTTATCGCGGAGTGTAAATCCCGAGCGGTGCTATATAAGCACAGGAAGACTGGTGCCGAGATTATGTCAGTGTCCAATGACGACGAGAACAAAGTATTTGGCATTGTATTCAGGACTCCTCCGTAAGCATTTCTATTGTGCTAATCACTCGTTAAATCCTTGTTCTCGTGGTGGATTGTTTTGAATCTGAAATTGCTTTGGTTAATGTGAATTTGGGGTGTTTTTGGTATTATTGTGTTTCGTAGTTTGCTGCTTGAATTACATGATTCGGGGTCCGTTTTGTGGCAAACTTGCAATTGGTAACAAGAGTGAGTTATTAGTTCTTTTGTTGAAAAGTTGGAATAAGAACATTTGAATGTGGGTTGAGTGTGTATTTTGCTTGTGATATCTGGATAATAAACATTCCTCATTCGTAGTTGTGGAAGCTGGTATGTGGTGGCTTGATTTGAGATTAGATTAAGATTTATTGCAAAGAGTATTTTATGTGGTAGCCTCTTATCAAACAGTGCATCAATTTATTTATTTTTTATTTATTTAAGAGCTTATAATGAGGTTCTGACATGTGATACGTTGATGCAGAAAAGACTCGACAGGAATTCCTCATATATTGGAACACAGTGTGTTATGTGGTTCGCGAAAATATCCATTGAAAGAGCCGTTTGTTGAGCTGTTGAAGGGGAGCTTGCATACGTTTCTGAATGCATTCACATATCCTGATAGGACTTGCTATCCAGTTGCCTCCACCAATGCCAAGGTCTGACCCCTCGATATCCATGTAAAAGCACACAAGAATTTTGTCATAAGATCATAACTTACACAAAGTAATGCTAGTATTGTTATGCAGGATTTCTATAACTTGGTTGATGTGTACTTAGATGCTGTCTTTTTTCCCAAATGTGTGGAAGACATTAAAACCTTTCAACAGGAAGGTTGGCATTATGAACTGAACGACCCTTCGGAAGACATAATTTATAAAGGTTGGGATTCTCTATATATCCAGGCAAGGTAGTGGAGTTCATCAATTCAATACATTATTGGTATTTGATTTTTTGAGTATACTCCAGGTGTTGTTTTCAATGAGATGAAAGGTGTTTATTCTCAGCCTGACAGCATCCTTGGCCGAGCTTCCCAACAGGTAAGCGTCACTATCATACTAAATTGTGGATTTCAATTTTTTCTGAACTTCATGAATGCATGGTTTAGCTTATGCTTTTTTTAATAATAAAATCAAGATAAAATGAAGAGTGCTTGATATGTTTTCTTCTGATACAAACAACTTTAAAGGCTTACTATAGCTGGAGAATGACTGATGCATTAGTGGTTATCATATTTATTTGTAGGCTCTTTTTCCTGACAACACTTATGGTGTTGATAGTGGTGGTGATCCGCAAGTAATTCCTAAACTAACTTTCAAGGAATTCCAGGTTTGACTCCTTAAGTTCATATTAATTAATTATTTTTTCAGTTCATGTATTTCTGATCCATGAAGTTACATTAAATATAAATTTGCTTTTCGAAGATACTGGAATCTAACTTTTCATGGGGTACCTCCATCAGATTTCTTTATCTAAGGGGCATCTATCTTCTAAAATGTTACAATGCCACTGTACCAGGAAAATGTTCTGATTAATATTCTTAGTTCAGTTTGAAGGACACATATTTCTGATATTCACATGGCATGCAGCAGGAATGTGCACTTGCATAAACATGATGTGTGTGTTTGTGTGTAATTGTATTGAAGTAAATGCATTTATAACCCGACACATGTATCGATCTCTTGGAATTTACTATTTTGTCGTCTTTTTCATTTTGACGATTATATATTTTATATGATTTTGCGTGCTCACATTGATATGTAGTTGCATAGATTAAAATGTATGTAATTTGCACTTGTATTATTTATAACATAGGATGCTTTTGAGCTAAAGTTATATTGTTGAAGTAAAGCTGTATATTTAATGTTGCTGAAGAATTTCCTTATGAAGTTAACTGAATTCAGATAACATCTTCTTTTATATGGCTTTCTTTCTGAATATAATGAGCTGTAGTTAATTCTTTTACGTATTGGGACTTGATACTCATGCTGGCTTTAATCAGAGATGGTGGTGTTTATGGGATTTTTGTTAGCTTTAAATTGCAAATTATATAAAAATAGGTTGTTTATCCATTTCGTGATTACAAGATGATTAACCAGTACAGTCATTTTGTAAATTCCGAACAATTATAAATTTCGCAAATTAAAGTGTACTTCTGAATAATGGTAAATTTCTCATTCGTTCATATGTGTATATAGATGCAGATGAATTATTATTGTTATTTTCATATTCTTATATACACAGGAGTTCCACCGAAAATATTACCATCCAAGCAACGCTAGAATATGGTTTTATGGAGATGATGATCCAAGTGAAAGGCTACGAATTTTAAGTGGTATTTAGTTTTCATAAACTGTATATTGTCTTTGGCTTTTTTTTTCTCCTTCTTTCTATTTATCGTGCGTATGGAATTCAAATGGATGGGAGAAAAAATCAGGGCAACATCTCTGTTGTCCTCTATGAAATATGCTGGACTGTATTTCCTTCGTCCTTTTGGCTCTATGCAGTTTCTTTCAGCTGAAAATATGTCACATGCATTATTATCTTTATGAGAGGTTGAGAGTATATCTGTGATATTTTATGTTTAAAGTTTCACCGGAGTCGTTCATGTTTATGGGCTCCTTGTGAAGAACATTATGCGTTCAACGATATTTCTGGACTGTATTTCCTTCGTCATATGGGCTCTATGCAGATTTATTTCAGTTGAAAACATTTCACGTGCATTATTATTTCTATGAGAGGTTGAGAGTGTATCTATGGTATTTTCTGTTTTAAGTTTCACCGGAGTCATGCACGTTAATGGGCTTCTTGTGAAGAACATTATGCATTCAACGAAAAATTCCGTGTAACTATTTTGTGTGCGCTTTGGTGAACACTTTATGAAATCTTGACATTATTCATGGCTTAAATATATTTCAATGCTTCCCAATGCAGAATATCTAGATAAGTTCGAAGCTAGTTCAGCTCCTGAGGAATCAAGAGTTCATCATCAGAAATTGTTTTCGGAACCTGTCAGGATTGTCGAAAGATATCCTGCTGCTGAAGGGGAGGACCTGAAAAAGAAGCACATGGTGTGCCTCAATTGGCTCCTCTCTGAAACGCCGCTTGACTCAGAGACTGAGCTGGCCCTAGGCTTTCTGGATCATTTGTTGATGGGAACTCCTGCTTCTCCTTTGAGAAAAGTTCTTCTAGAGAGCCGCCTGGGAGATGCTATTGTTGGTGGTGGGGTTGAAAGTGAGCTCCTTCAGCCTCAGTTTAGTATTGGATTAAAAGGCGTATCAGATGAGGACATTAAAAAAGTAGAAGAATTAATCTTGACCACATTTAAGAAATTGGCGGAGGACGGCTTCGATTCTGATGCTGTGGAGGCATCAATGAATACGATTGAATTTTCTCTAAGAGAAAACAACACCGGTTCATTTCCTCGTGGATTAGCACTAATGCTTAACTCAATTGTAAGCACTAGAGATCATTAACCATCCTTGAAGTTTGTTCATATGATGGAAAAAAAAAAGCCAGCTATCTTTAGAACTACAGAAAAACAACAGAGAGAACACTTGTCTTACAATTTTGCACCTGCCCTTAGTGGGACTATGGAAGTTGCTGAAATACTCAATATCCATTAGATTAACTAATGGTAGGGTCAAAAGAACCATACCTCAAGGGTGGCTTTTGCAATTTTTAAACTTGGCCGCTTTTCTTTCATTATCAATATCCAAAATATCAGGGTTGATTGTTCGTAATATCTCAGTATTATGAACCTTGTATCCCTCTATTCTCTGCCTTTTAGATTCTGAAATATTCTTATAAGCACTTTGTATCTTACAGGGGAAGTGGATATATGATAAGGATCCTTTCGAACCATTGAAATATCAAGAACCTCTAAAGGCTTTGAAAGCTAGAATAGCTGAAGAAGGCTCCAAATCAGTCTTTGCTCCCTTAATAGAAAAGTTCATTTTGAACAACCCACACCGTGCAACTATAGAAATGCAGGTATTCTTCTTCTGCTGTGATTGGCTTTGTAAGGTGAAATATGATGTCACTATTTCATTGCTAAGTTATGTTCTGTACAGCCTGATCCAGATAAAGCTTCCCGTGATGAAGTAACTGAGAAAGAAAATTTGGAAAAGGTCAAAGCTAGTTTGACCCAGGAGGATCTGGCTGAGTTGGCCCGTGCAACGCATGAACTCAAGTTGAAACAGGAGACTCCTGATCCACCTGAAGCTCTGAAATGCGTGCCAAGCCTTTCTTTGCAAGACATTCCTAAAAAGCCTATACAGATTCCTATAGAGGTGATAAAGAGAACTGTAAAAGTTGCCTTTAGTACAATTCTCATCTTTTCCTTTGGAGCTTATTTTTATTGCGGGCAACTGCAGGTTGGCGATATCAATGGTGTAAAGGTTTTGCAGCATGACCTTTTCACAAATGATGTCCTATATGCAGAAGTTGTATTTAATATGAGCTCCCTAAAGCAGGAGCTTCTGCCTTTGGTGCCACTATTCTGGTGAGAGCAAAACCTATTATAGAAGAATCTGTATTCACTTCAGAAGCCTCAACCCAATTCAAACAGAGACTAAATCCACTGACACTTGTTTTTCAGTTTGTGATATTGAATTTGATTTGGAACTTTTAACAATAATCAAGTTGAACTTGTGACCTTAGGCTCGTTGAGAATTCTAGCTAATCGAATATCCAGGTTCCTGAGGACACCAAATCATAGAGGTTAATCAATCTTAAAAAAAAAATGAAAAACATAAATGTTTGAAAAGAACCTAGGCACAAGTCTGTTTTTGTTCCTGGATATGGTTCATCATTCTTGATTCCTAAAGTTTGGGCCAATTGGTACATAGCAAATCATGAATGACAAAACAAAGCAGAAAGCACAGTTGTTGCTTTAAGTATTGTAATACTTGATCTGACAATATAAATTTGAACAATTTCATAAAGAGTTTTTTACTTTAATTGAAATATACTCCCTGAGTTATTAGGGGTACAGACAACTGTCAATGTAAGTAGATCTGAATTCAACATAGTCTAGTATCATATCAGTGTCGGGTAAACTGTTAGTATTATTTTGGGTTGCATACAGCATGATACGATGTTCAAGTGTATTATCTTGATGTAGTTAGTAGTTGATATCTTTGACTTTCGAACATTGAGTTCAATGGATCATTATTTCTAATTTTGAGATAACATGTTTATGTCAACAGCCAATCCCTGCTTGAGATGGGTACAAAGGACATGGATTTTGTACAACTAAATCAATTAATTGGAAGAAAAACTGGTGGGATATCTGTATATCCTCTTACATCATCAGTTCATGGACGGGAGGAACCATGCAGCCGTATAATTGTTCGAGGCAAAGCTATGTCAGAACGTACTGAAGATTTATTTAATTTGGTACGTAGCTATTATTCTTATTGGTATTAATTAGCATCGAACTGATCTTCACCAAATCATCTCAATATTGGAGCTTCTCTTCCCCTCCTTTTTACGTGCTCGTACGTATGGCTATTTTTTTCTATTTCTTTGTGAGTCCCCCATAGTTGTGTGTGTTGTAATGTTACCCAGAAAAGATAGAGGATAATTTGCTGAAGACTACTTATCTACACATTGCTTTCAATGCACATTGCATTGTAGCGTGGTTTTCTTCCATATATACAGTGAGGTTTACCAATGGCAATCGACCAGCTTAGATTTTAAGTGATGGAGGTTGATTGACGCAGTTGTAAAATTGTCAATTTGTAGGTCAACCGTGTGATTCAAGATGTTCAATTGACAGACCAAAAGCGCTTTAAGCAGTTTGTTTCTCAGAGCAAAGCCAGAATGGAGGTAATTTTTTAACCTAGAAGAACAGAGAATTTGCCTTTTTCTTCACTAAATGATGCAAATTGTTGGCTCTCAGAATCGTTTGAGGGGCAGTGGGCATGGTATTGCGGCTACAAGAATGGATGCCAAGCTCAACACTGCTGGTTGGATCTCTGAAAAAATGGGTGGTCTCAGGTGATTTTTTGGAATTTAATTCTTATCTAATATGCACAGTATTTGGTGGAACTTTTGGCATAATTTATGATACACTTCGTTTCTATGAGCCAGCCTGAGCTGGTTACTTTCTGAAATCTTGAAACTTATTCCACATTTTCATTTTTCTATTTGTTGGTCTCTATTGATTTTTTATGTTGGTAATGTTTGATTCGATTTCTTACGGAAGCAGATGTGTTCGATTATATCTGACATCATTGCCTATTGAAGTCTTCGTATAATATACATCTTCACTCTTTCTTCTCTTCTGAAGTGTTGTCATGTTTTATGTGCAGTTACCTTGAATTTTTACAAGCTCTTGAAAAGAAAGTTGACGACGACTGGCCTGAAATATCTTCTTCCCTTGAGGAGATACGAAAATTATTGATTTCGAAGAATGATTGCCTCATAAATCTGACTGCTGATGCGAATAATCTCCAGAACGCAGAGAAATATGTCAGCAAATTTTTAGATATGCTTCCCGAGACTCCTCCAGTCGGATCAACTGCTTGGAGTGCTCGACTCCCTCCCACGAACGAAGCTATTGTGATACCTACTCAGGTTATATAGCATTCATTGTTTGCTCGCTTTAACTTTTCTTTAGAAACTACCATCGAAGTTTAACCATTTTCTGGAAACAATCGGTAATCATTTCTTTCTTTGTTTCTGTTTTTTTTTTTCTGTTTTTTTTTTTTCCAAATTACAAGCTTTTCGTAATTGCTAAAATGGAAAAAAATGTCAAGGGATTGCTGTAATTTTTTAAAGTACCTGGGCTTTCTAAAATTAGACCTTTGTTTATATGCATACTTTTTCTATCTTGCTATTCAATAAAAGTCGAGCAACATCTCTACGCAGGTGAATTACGTTGGAAAAGCAGCTAACCTTTTCGAGGCTGGCTATCAACGTAAAGGCAGCTCATATGTCATCTCTAAATACTTGGGCAACACATGGCTGTGGGATCGTGTGCGTGTCAGTGGTGGAGCGTATGGAGGATTTTGTGATTTTGACTCTCATTCAGGTTCCAATTTAGTAGTTCCACTTTGCTGTTACATACTTTTGATCTTTTACTCTTTTTTTTTTCTGATTTGTTGACCATTGTTTTATTTGTTCAGGTGTGTTCTCGTACTTGTCTTACAGAGATCCCAACTTGTTGAAGACACTCGATATTTATGATGGAACAAGCAACTTTTTGAGGGAACTTGAACTGGACGATGATGCCCTCACTAAGGCAATTATTGGGACTATTGGAGATGTTGATGCCTATCAGCTACCCGATGCCAAAGGATATAGCAGGTAAATCTTTTGATTTCCTTTTTGTTTTTCTCTGTTATATTAATTGTTCTGTATAACTGAGCATTCGGGAGATAATTGTTTTTTTTTTTTTATCTTTTTTTTAATCTCAACCAAATAAAGATTATCTGAAAGTTATTATAATCCTGCAAATACATTTTTATGGAGTGTGATTCATAATTTTCACCTATTTGTCTTCAGTTTACTGAGATACTTGTTAGGAGTCACCGAGGAGGAAAGACAAATTAGACGAGAAGAGATTTTGTCGACAAGGTACTTACTTACAAATGCCCTCTATTTTGATCAAATGCACCTATAATTTTTATTTATTTATTTATTTATTCTATTTACTGTTTCTTTTTTTTTTAAAATAATTATTTTATTATTTTCTACAGGTTGAGTGACTTCAAGGAATTTGCTGACGTGGTCGATACGGTTAAGGACAAAGGTGCCGTGGTTGCCGTGGCCTCGCCCGAGGATGTCGATGCAGCCAACAAGGCGCGTCCCGATTTCTTCCAAGTGAAAAAGGCACTTTAAGTTATTTCAAGTGAGTATTGAGAAATTCACATAAATGTTACATTGTTTTATTTATATACTCTTGCACTAAAATCAGGCTCGAAAACTGGAAAAAACAATATCCATACACGTGGCAAGTAAATTGCATTTTTATCATCTTGCAGTTTGATAAGCTTTACAGTTAAGAGCAAAACTCACTCGTCTTGGTCAAAATTATGTATTATGTCGAACTGCTGATTTAGTAGACTTGAAATTTTGTTGAATTTTTCTTCTGATTTTAAGTTGGTTTCTCACTCAGAAATGTTTGAAGGACGATCACATCCTAAAGCATTAAGCATGGCATGGGTTTAAATTTAATTGTAATAATTTCATGCTCTTTATATTTCACTTTTCTTTGTTTTGAAGAAGTATTTCATATTTAATGATTTTTCTTTTTATGCAATTATGCACGAGGGGGAATCGAACTAAATTCAAGATGGGCCCCTCTCCTCCATTAATATATAAAAAAAATAAAGTAAAAATTCAGAAAATGAAAATGAAATTTCAAAAATCTGAAATTGCATGTAACATCACAGTCGAGCGTCGCACAAGGAATTGCTGCAACTATGTTACTTTCTTGTTATTGTTTTCCAGCAAACAGACTGCCGAGGCCTGCAGTCCCTCTGATTTTTTCCTTGCGTGTGTCATTTTTCTTTTTAATCTTTTTATTTTTTAAATTTGGAAATGGACAGGGACAGAGCCCTGGTTTTTAGGGAGTGGNTCACATCTCTCAGTTTTTGTGTTGATCCCAAGATTCTTCATTTGTTCGCTTACGACAGAGCATGGTTGTCACCACATTTTGTCCACAAAGAGTGTTTTTTTTTTTTGGTCAAGTTTTAAATTAAATTCTAGTATATGTTTGCAATTTAATTCTTTTTTCTTTTTTACCAAATGATATATTAATTATTAAAAATTCAAAAGAGTACAATTAAGGTGTCAACTGACACCAATAGAATCAAAATAAAGTCTAAACCATCTCTCTTAGCATTACATAGGTGATCGAAGGAATACGAATTCAATAAAAGTAGACACAAGCACCCACATAACAAAAGTCCAAAAAGGAGACACGAACTTCATATAGGAGATTAAAAGTGAAACACAATGGGACTAACAGAATGAAAAACAAAGAAAAATAAAAACGACGCACACTTAATAAAAAAGTTAACTAAGACATCTTCTACTCCTAGTTGGCGAACCATACTATCACCCAAAACGACAAACGAGCCACTCCTGCAAGCACATAAACTCAACAGATCCTCAAAACAAAATTCTAGACCCAAAAATTGTGGTTATACTCGAAACGCTCCAAATTACAGATTTTGATTTTTGCAAATTGAAAGTATGCAGTCAACAAATTGGTTGTATGTTGACTTGACTGACGTTGTCTGACAGACATAAAAGAAAAATGACAAAAAAAAAAAAAAGAAAGAAATAAACTCCACTTTTATACTCTTGAAAACTTGATTTGTTTATGGAAATTTTTGAAAAAATTCCAACATTTTAATTCAACCACTTTTTTTAACTCAATCCCACTATTATCAATAAAATCAATATAATTAAATAATATCAATCAATTATTCATACACACCACATCAACCTTAATTCACTATTCATCCTCTCACATTATTTTAACTAACCATCACTTCAAATAACATCTCTCTTATTTTTATATCAAATCAATTTTAACTATTTTATTTTAAATGTTATTTTAATATACCTACTAACAACTAACCATACCACCTTTTCAAAATTAACCAAACCAAAGTAAAAAATTCAAACAAAACAAAAATTTCCATCAACAAACATACTCTAAAAATCTCAACTCGCTCTGGTACCTTAATTGCGCTAGAACCTCTCCTAAACATGATAAAATTATGTTCATCCCCTATTGCAATGAAGATTATTAATTTTATGTTGAAATGAGTACCTTAATGCCTATAGGGTTCTATAATCTAAAAATACTCTTTGAGAAATTAACAATAAAATATTTGGGTGCCGCTTCCGATTATGACTTAATTCAATTTTTATGATGAATATTTATTAATTTTTTTTTCTTATGAAATGTATTATTATTGATTTTTGCTTACTGCTATAAAATACCTCAAAAAAGTAAAAAATTAAAATCAGATAAACAATTGTTTGGTTACTCTTTTGTGACCTACGATCTTTTCTCCTTTGTGATATGTTGTCTTCCCTCTCCATATCAGATAACCAGCCGGACACGTAAGCACTGGACAACAAATTGATTGCATTAGTCAAGTTACAAATATCAAAGTCATGTTTGTCAAAATTGAAATATTGGAATTAAATTGCAAAATAAAACAAAAGTAGAGTATTAGTTTACAATTCAGCCCACTTTCCTCTTATGGTCTTATTTTTATTAATTAACTCCTGGTCTGGTTCTCTATTTTTTTACCTGACTGCCGATGTCATCAAATTTCTACTATAAAACTATTCTATTAATTTCCTCTTNATTATGAGTGAACTCAATTAGTAAAATACTAAAATAGTAAGTCATGGAACCATATTTGCCTTATTCCAGTATCTTTTATGCTGTCAAAAAACATTCTTGAAAACATTTTCTTCGTCCACACATTTTGAATGAAAGGTTTGTAAATTGTAACACTCAATGAAAGGGGAAAATTATGTTATCGTATCATGAAAGCAAATACACTTGGCATAAAAGGCTAATCTTGATGCGGTAATAGTTAGTTAATTATATCCATGTGTTCTCAAATAGATATGTTTAATGCTAACACAATAACCCAAGCTAGGTTGATACTTCATAATCATACCCATTTTTTAATAGACTTATTACTTATTACAACAATATATAATGAAATTAACATATGCGTACCAATTGTTCGATAATCATAATTTTTCAACAAATATGTATACTTTTAAACTGAAATGTCATACTCTAAAGAATGACATAAATAAAAGTATAATATTTCACATTGTAAATACGCATGTTTGTTTTTTATTTATTTTTTTTTTAAAAAAAAGAGTACGACGAGTAGATTCAACTAACAATTAGACCGCCTCTTTGTGCATATAAAATTTATTTGAACCAAATAATATAATAAAATATACAAAATTAATTAGCTATGCGTTATTTTGTGGTGTATACCAAAAATACTCCAAACCTCCCATTCAACTATTTTACTTCAAATCCTATTTTAATGCATTAATTAAACACCATGTGATAAAAATAAATAGAAGATCTCGAGTGGAAACAAATATTGTAATTTTGGCCTCTCTTCACCTGTATCATGTATGTTAACCGTTATAAAAAAAGTTTTTCTATATTTTTTTACTTTGATTTGACAAATTTCCCATAGTCAAACCGAGAAGAATCATGAATCAACATTGATTTCAACTCAAGGTAAATAGAGTGGTAAAATTGTTGTAATCTTTAGAGGAAGACAAAAGAACAAATGTGCAGATAACATTAAATATAGTAACTGTAGATCTCGTGCATGTATGCGACCATTTTATTCAATTTCAATAATTTCATGAAATTAGATTTTCTATTATATATATCATTTGGCAAGTGAATAAACCCACAAGCAATGTTTTAAATATAATCGGTAATATATACAGTATACCGGATACTAATTTAAAACATTTACAGTTACCTTTTCCATATCACTAGTTTAGAGCCCGTGCGATGCACGAGGTGCACAATTTTAAGGCTATTTATCCAGGCTTATAATTATATACATGAATAAAGAAAAATGTAAATGTACGGGATATATATAGTACGTGACTTGTGCGAAGCACGGGATATATTTATTTGGAGAATATTATATTATAAAATGCAATATTCAATAAAAGTTTATAATACGCAAAAAAATTGTACAATGTTCAATAAAAGTTTTATACTCCCTCCTATTCATAATAAGTGTCGTTTTGGGAAGTTGCACACTAATTAAGAATAATTTTTTTGCCAATAATAACCCTCATTAATGAAGATAGAGATGGATGTTTTAAAAAAAAAATGAAGAGAATATGAAAAGACGTAGTGTATTTATTAACTAAATGAGGGTAATAATGGAAAAATATGTACAAAAGATCCAAAACGACATTTATTTTGGTTAATAGTTGATAAAGCCAAAATGACATTTAAAAAGAATAGAATGTAGTAATATTCAAGTGGAGTCTTAAAGTCTCTTATACATTAAGACTACTGACAAAATAATATTTTAATCAATGAGTTTCCTTTCCTTGTAGTCAAACTGTGAATGTGATTTGAGGAGTACAACAAATCGATATATAGCTAACTTGCTTTTTTCATTGTATTTTTTTTTTCTTTTTTTTTTATAATGAATTTAAAGATATTCTAAAATATAGCAAAAATTAAATTTTTTTTATTACAATTAGGAATTTTACTAAATATAGACTCTCAATCTATGGTGTCAATCAGCGTTTTTAAGTCTAAAAAATTAGAAATTTTTACCTCTTTTAATCAACGTTTAAGTCTAAAATATTAGGAATTTTTACCTCTTTTAATCAACGTTTAAGTCTAAAAAACAATAAAGTTATTATAAGTTTTTTTCTACATCTTTTAAAACATTAAATATGAGCATGTTAGGGCTAACTTGTAAAATAATTAATATATTATTTCACTAAAACATTTATACTAATAAAAATTTAATTTTAGCATATAAATTTATCCCTTGATATAAGAGAAAGTAACAGTTTTACGTATTGTTGTTCACCATATAATATTTAATTATTATTTTATTATATAATAAAAAACAAATACTGTTAAATAGTGTAGTAGAATTGTTATAAAATTATATGATTTTATTTTTTTTACAATATGAATTTAATATTTTTTTATGATTTGATAATATAAACAAATCTATACTTAACATTGACAAATAAAACAAATAAATACTTTAGTAAGTATTTAATGTATATACTAAATAGGAATATATTTGGTATAATCAAATACCAAATATAATCAAATAAGACAAAGTGTGCATTTTTATTTGGTATTTGATTTTTTTATTATTAAAATCTTTTTATTATACTTACTTTTTAAAATAAAATAAATAAATAAATCAATTAAATAAATAAAATATTATAATACCAAAATAGTAATGACATTTAATGTAGTTGACTTTTCTAGATAGTAAATGTAGTAAATAGAATCTCCTTTTATATAAGTATAGATATGATATTATATTATGTTGTTCAAAATAGTAATGCATTTATTGCATTGACTTTTCAACTTATTAAATTTCGTAAATGGTACACCTTATTATATAAGTATAGATTTCACCAATATACCGGTTCATACAGCGAAATTCTGATTACTCCGAATAGTATTGGCTGAAAATGGTAAAAACCAATTTTTTATTAGTTTTTCTTTAATAACTAATACGTATCCCGTGCGATGCACGGGATATAAATACTAAATGAGTTATTTTCACAGGCTTTGTCATTTTAAGCATATAAAGTAATAAGGTTATCATCTATTTTCCACATCTTTTAAGCAGCGTTAAGTGTAATAAACAATAAGGTTACAATCTATTTTGTACCTCTTTTAATCAACATTGACTTTTTAGTCAAAACATTAAATATGAGTATGTTAAGATTAGTTTGTAAAATAAATAATATATTATCTGGTCATTATCATCTTAAATGGTAAATTATATTAATTTGAAGAACAATTTATTTTTTATATTTAACAAAATGAAGCTTAAG